CCTTGCAGACTTTTGATCCTTTTCGAAATACTAAATTGTAACTTCTAGAAGTAGTTTAGCACTAAACTGAAGAATTTCGAGGTATGCTTACAGAGACAGTAAGAAGAATAGAAAACAACAGCTTTATTTTGGAATGCAAGAAACCTGAAAACTGCTGCAATGCTAGCTTTTGGGGTAGTTGAATTACGCTAATAATTTTTTCCACAAATTGTGGCCTTATAGGATTACGACAGTTATGAGCTACAGAGATCAACTAAAGGATTTGTCTGAAAAATGACGCAGTGGGCTCAACTGATAAGCTGAAATGTATCACACCTACATCGCTCCGTAAGTCCTCAATGGATGAGTAGGAAAGGTGTACGATGGAAAGGAAAAAATTACCTGCTCAAAACGGAAACTTGAATAACACTTCTCATATGAAATAGCTTTACCATGAGAAATGGTTATTATTTTCTTAATCAGCATGTCAATCAGCCTCAGTAGATCACTTTTCAGGCAAATCGTGTTTGACGACCATGCAGCATGGTAAATACGCTACCCTACCAAGTCCTTGGGAATGGTATGGTTCTGGTAAATGTATAGCTATAAAAACATGATGAACTCCAAGTTCTCAATTATCGAAGGAAAATTAAGCTGCCAGTTGGGCTAATGAGGTTATCGAAACTTACAGTACCATCGAGAAGGTGAATTGTTCTATATATGATATGTTGCCAAGACTCCGTTTCCTTCACTTTTTGAGTATCGTACCAACCTTTCTGACAACCCAATATGGCTAGGCTTTATGGCTAGTGAGAAGGGTCATTTGCGCGATGTGTCGCTATCACAAAGGCAAAAAGATTGAAATATTAGCCAATAAAAAATAGTTTGGTGTATACTACTTGGGTGGGCTATTATTATTCAATACCGTCAATGGCCGTTTTACTGAATCCATTTGATGAAGCTTACGTTTCGTCATAACCTGCCTCCAGCATCAGAACACTTTTGCCACCGGGACGTCCAACACTTGTGTAGCACCTTGAAAGCGAATCCTATTTGAGGTAAGTGATCCGTTGGACTTCTAGAATTACATATAACACCAATTACTTACCCTTGACCAGCCTGATTCTGAATTTCAACATAATCTCTTTCATTGGTTCTCGGTTTGAAACGGATGCATGTGTTGGATTGAATACGTCGCATGGCTTCATCAATTGTTCTTCGCTCCGATGCATCTTCAGTACGATTATGTTATATAATTAAAAATGAAACAGTTAACTTGTTAAAGTAAAAAAATTACCGTAACGTCCTGTGATTCTATATGGGATTACATAATTTCCATCACTATCCCTGATATTCCATTTGAGATCTGAGTTGCGGGGTAGAGCATTAAACATTTTGCTAA